GTTTTGATATGAACCGTCAGCGCAAAACTTAACACATAAAACTTGAGTATTTCTAAAAATACGTGCTTACTTAAGCGATAGCTCGAAACACACCTGAAGCAAAAAAGAAAGTCCCGTAAATTCCGATGCAAATAGGGGATTAGAAAGATCTCTAGGGAAAAGACAAAATATACATATCTATAGTAGTCGTTCACAAGTAACTCATGTATATCACACGTACAATAAACTGTTATCGTATACCCGAATTACATTTCTAATTAAATTAATTAACTCCTCATCCACTGCCTAACTCCCACTGGTTATGGGCCCAGTGATTGTAGATTAACGCAGCGAGTAAAGTGCAAATTAAAATAATAAGAAAAAGAAAAAAAGTCGGCGCGTAATTGACCGCGTGGAAAAACATAACCTAAAAATGGCACACAACGGATTATCGAGAATTTAAATTCTAGACAAGCAAAATTACGAAGTTTGGCAAATACGTATGAGATCAATTCTAGTAAAGCATGATCGATGGGGATATGTAAACGATGAAATTACAAGACCTGTAGGAAGTGCTGCGACAGAGCGTGATATTTCATCGTGGAGAAAAGAAGATGAAAAAGCAAAGGCGGACATCCTACTATCGATAGGAAACGCTGAACTTAAAACAGTGTCCAAATGTGAGACATCTAAAGAAGTCTGGGACAAATTACAGTCAGTACATGCGTCAAAAGGTCCAGTTAGGAAGATAGAGCTGCTGACCGACGTCACATCATTCAAAATCGACGAGGACGACGACTTCAGGGAACGCCTGGACAGCTTCGTGAGTGCCGTCTAACACTTAGAAGATATGAAAGTAGAAATATCAAGTGATATGTTAGTTGTACTAATTCTCAAAGGACTACCTTCAAGCTTCGAGAACTTTCGATGCGCAATAAGATCCAAAGATGAATTACCCAATACAGAAACATTAATTGGTAAAATTCTGGATGAAAAAAGAATCAGAAAGACAACGGAAGCTGACAACGAAGATAATGCTTTGTATGCAGGTGATCGACGACATAAATACCACACCCCAGGTAAAAATAAAGCAAAATCCAAACAGCCATGATACATATGCGGTAAAACAGGACATTGGGCAGCAAAATTTCCAGAACGAGGTAAAAACTCAGTTAAAAAGGTTGAGAAGGTAGAAAGCAACTACATGGAGATATTAAAACCTTAAGAGGTAAGGAACATGACAACGACGACCAGATGGTGCTTGTTAAACTTAAGTAATACGCTACTAGTTAAAGATCTCCGTACTAATTTAATTTCTGTGGCAAAACTCACTGGAAACAATCGAGAGGTACTATTCAGGGAAGATGATGCTATTATTATGGACCTAGAAGGAGAAACAGTAATGATAGCAGATCGAGTTGGAAACCTTTATTACCTACGAGAGCCTGATGAAAGAGCTGAAGCTGTGAAACCACAAGAAACGAGTACTACAGATGCTCAGCTGTGGCATGCGCGACTGGGGCATCTACACATGGACGCAGTTGTTGTGAAGAGGACAGGCAACAGGAATCAAGAGATTAACTTCTGGAAGAACACATTCTGATATGTCATCGAGGAAAGATGACAAGAAAACCTTTCGAACCAAGAACTGAGAGGAGCACAAAATTACTCGAGATAGTGCACTCAGACTTATGCCAACCATTTAATACTAAATTAGAAGATGGAAACAGATACTTTGTAACATTCATTGACGACTACTGCGGCTGGTGCGAGCTGTACTTACTAAAAAGCAAAGATCTAGTATTCCAAGCATTCAAACAATACAAAAACTTCACAGAACGTCAAACAGGAAAGAAGATTAAGAAATTGAAATCAGACAATGGTCGAGAATACTGCAACAAACCATTCGACGACTACTTGAAGCAGGAAGGCATACAAAGAATTGAAACACCTCAGCAAAATGGAGTAGCTGAACGTATGAACAGAACGATCGTCGAAATGGCCAGATGCTTGTTAATCCAATCAGAATTGCCCACAATGTATTGGGGTGAAGCTATCCTGACCGCGAACTACTTGAGGAACAGAAGCCCAAGCAGAAGTCACCAACGGATGACACCGTATGTGCTGTGGATTGGTACCAGACCACTCCTACGTCACCTTAGAGTATTCGGATCAAAGGCATTGTACTTGATAAAGGACCTGGACGACGAAAACTAGATGAAAAATATATTGAAGGCGAACTAGTCGGATATTCACGCACGGCAAAAGTCTATAGAATAAGAAGAAACGACACGGGAAAAATTATTGAGAAAAGCAGAGAGAAGAACTAAAAGATGCAATCCATGGAGCCGAATCACTCGAAGCCGAATCACTGGAAGCGTGCATTAACCGATGAAATTCGTTCCCACCTGGAGCATGGCACCTGGAAACTAGTGAAGAAGGTAATATTGAAAAACAAGCTGACTGCTGATAGAAAAATAGAGCGCAGGAAGGCAAGAATAGTAGCCAGAGGGTTCACGCAGCGACCAGGATTCGACTACGACGAAACAATCGTGCCAGCAATCAGGTTGAGTTCAATTCGACTACTCACATCATTAGCAGCAGGTATGAAATCAAAAATATACCAATGGGACGTAGTTACAGCATACTTGAACGCTGAACTTGACGAAGAATTATACATGGAAACTCCGTCAAAGCTGAGAGAAATTCTTCAAGATATCACAAGAGATGAATGACGCGACTCAGAGATACAAAAACGAGCAGTAGAAATGCTGAAGGACTTGACAAAAGGATATCAAGTATGTAAACTTCAAAAATCACTATACGGGCTGAAACAATCAGGAAGGAAATGGTACAAGAAACTATGTGCAATATTCGCTAAATTTGGTTTAAAGCCAACAATATCAGATCCATGCTTATTTACACGACAAGAATGTAGCAAGATATTAATTGTCGGTATTCACGTAGACGATGCACTGGCAACAGCGAACGACCCAAAAATAATCCAAGACTTCAAGATAGCATTTAACCGAGAGTTAAAAATAAAAGACATGGGAGAAGCTCGATATTGCTTGAGAATTGAGTTCGAGCAACAAGTTGGACGGATAAGTCTAAATCAACAGCAATATGTTAAGAGAAATGGTAGAAAAATTCGGTACGAAGAGCTGCACTTCTCGTCGTACACCGGCAAGCCCGACATCGAAGTTAAGAGCGTCAACAGATCCAAACAAGCCCACAAAGAACCCACAGTACAGAGAACTCGTAGGCTCCCTGATGTACTTGGCTGTGGCAACAAGACCTGACATTGCACACACAGTGAGCCTGCTGAGCCAATTCAATGAAAAACCCACTGAACAACACTGGGGCGCAGCAAAGAGAGTGTTGAGATACCTGAATGGATCACCTGACAAGGGACTGGTATTCAACGAAAAAATCGACAAATTAATTGGCTACCCAGACGCAGGATGGAGGAGAGACGACAACAACTCACAATCCTATGGTGGATACGCATTCATGCTGGGAGGAGCGGCTATCAGTTGGAAAGCAAAAAAGCAACCATCAGTTGGACTGTCAACAACAGAACCTGAATTCAGAGCACTGACTGAAGCAACAAAAGAGTCCATGTACCTGAGAGGACTACTCGGCGAGATAGGATTATCTCATCTGTCAAACGGTCTAATTTACTGTGATAATTTAGGCGCGGTGCAATTGACAACATCGATGGGACACCACGAGCGCACCAAACACGCTCGAATGTACTTTCAATTCGTCAGAGAATCAGTAGGAGGTAAACAAGTCCATGTCGTGCATCTGCAAACTAAAGAAATGATAGCAGACATATTTACCAAAACTTTGCCAGGCATGAATACTTCACTCGAGCGCTGGGCATGGGTGAGATTCCGCAATAATGAGGGAGAGTGTGGAATATAGTGATACGCACACATACATATACGCAACGTATTCACGTACACTACCGCGAGCAGTGCTACTGAGCAACCCGACGACGTCGATCTACCGAAACAGCAAACAGGGAAAAGACTAAATATATATATCTATAGAAGTCGTTCACAAGTAACTCATGTATATCACACGACTATAAATTGTTATCGTATACCCGAATTACATTTCTAATTAAATTAATTAACTCCTCATCCACTGCCTAACTCCCACAAAATCTATTTAATTTCAATTTATTTTAAATTTTGAACCAACAAATTATTTTTTATTTGCTTTGTCGATGAAATCGAATGAATTGTAGAACACCTAAAACAAAATCGTACGAGTTTTCATTTCGGATCCGAACAGATCCGATTTTCAAAACATGCCTCTAGGGGACCGTGGGAAGTGTTTCAAACATTAAGAGTCGTTACAATCTACTACTCCTATGAATATACCTTTTGAGTAAAATTAAATTTTTGAAGCGTTTTGCTCCTCTTCAGTCATTGGTGTTTTATCCACAGCGCCCAAGTATAGTGTTCATAATATTTAAAAGCAGGTTTTGAAACAACCATTCCAGCAGTAAGTCTGTGGTAACGTTCTTTCATCTCATTTAGTAAAACAAAATGACTCCTAATTTAAACGAAAATAACTTATGAATCTGTAACAAACGCAATTTAATTGTGAATAAAACTTTGACTTACTTGGTGTTAGAAAGTTCGCAGCATATCAGTTTTGGCCCCAACATTGTGTTATATTGTATGCTTTGCATATTGCGTTTACGAAAGCAGCCACTGTGCAAAGGCACAGATGTTACCTTATAGTTCTCGTACGGGGATTGGAGCGTACTTTTTTTTTTAAATTATTTTAAACCATCATTAAGGGAAAATTTGTTTAGTTTTAGCCAATATTTATTGTAACGGTTATCTAATTCTCGTATGAGTGGCAAAGCTCGAGCTAGTTGTTATCGAAATAACCTAACGAGAGGCCCAGGAACGTGCTGTTTCGATGGGGTCGGACCATGGGGACATGAGTGTTAGCTGATATTCCTCTTCCTTGCTTTCTATTAAGTAAATACAAATACAAAAACAAAAACAATAGCCGTGCTTTATTTGACCGTCAGAAGCTATTAGCTAAATCGTTGACAAATATTATTTTCCATATTTCTGAATTGTGTTGGCAATCCGGGCGTGAGCAGTCAGCAGTTTATTTCAAAATGTGTGACATGGAGAAGAGATTAGTTTGAATTTTTAAATTTGCAAACAGAATATTAATATACTAAGCAAAAATATTTATTAAGTTCATTTGAGGTATAGAAAAAAAAACTGAAAACAATGTTCCTATTTTATCTTAATTTTAACTTAATACCCATCCACGGAAATCTAAAATTTTGGTTTGTTTACATTTTCATCTGTCAAACTAAGGTTTTCTGCAAAATTTTTACTAATGTGAATAAAAAAAAAACGAGGAATGATTCTAGTTCAATATACAAATTAAGATAGGTTTTGACAACCCAATTTAAAAATGTTGGCTACGTCGTCCATACAAAGTAAGCCAATAGCTTAACGTGCTGGTCAAATAGAACACGCCTAATTTGAATTAATTGTTCAAGTTGACTAACTTTAACTGCAACCATATTTATCACTAACAATTAAATATTACTTTTTACTGGTGGCAGATGTCCATCATTCAGTGAACAATTATGTTGTATAAAAACACGTCCATTATTGAAATATTCTATACGATGCAAATTCTTTACTCTCTTCCGATATTGGTCAATTGTTATTGTTTCAGTATTTTTTTGGTTGGTTTCATCTGTATTAATGCTATATAGGTCATCGCCTGGCATTAAGCTCACGGTACCATCAGCACATTTCTGAATGACAGGAAGCATTAGGGTAATTCCTTTCGTAGAACGAACACGCGCAAAATTTACTAATTCATCTAAACATGCGAAATTAAGTAGTCTTGATAATTCATATAACTGCGGTGGAGGAAGATACAGCTTTTGGTCAAAGTAATCCTCAATGAATTCTTTTGGTGTTTTCCACTACAATAAGTAAGAATTACATATAGTTCTTAAATTAAGTCATACAACAAACCGAAAAACTTGCAGCTTCATTTCTTTCCAGGATCACATCTGGTATATTCTGCATCGCCACTAAGTAAAAACACGTTTGAAATCTAAAATAAAATTTTTAGTATTAATATCTTTATTTTAAAGTGTTTATTAAAGCATTGTTTTCATTTATGATTCTACTTCAGTGCGAATATTTAAGCCAACTGCATTTAGGTTGAAGCAAAATGGAGAGCGGCTAAGCAAATTATTTTTAATCAGTAATTTTGTACAGATAAATAAAAAAAAGGGTTACAAGAAATCTCGAAACTGGAGAGCATAAGGAGTCGATGCAATCTACTATCCCTACAACAATGCACTGCAGTTTTGATAACTACCTTCAGTAAGGAAATGGAGAGTTGCTAATAATTTCCTTATAAGAAGCACGAAAGTTCTTCGCACACGTTTGTGAAAAGGTTCCTTCGTCTCATTTAGAAAAAACAAAATGCTAAGCCAGGGGTACGTATCCATTCTCCTCTTCTGTATATCTACTTTTGTCATTGCTAATGAGGTGCAACAACAACAACAGGTGCCTGGCGGTAGGTATAAAACTCATTGAGTAGAGATTCCCTGAAAACAAAACTCAACATGAAGGTCGACAAGGAAAAAACCGGGAAGTGGCTGCTACCACCGGCGGGCGCAGTGAGTTTACTTGCTCTGTCCGTGAGGAGAGCAGTTTACAGCGGTTGTAGTGCTACTGTCAAACCCCCTTTGCAACGTAGAGGTGCTACAGTCCATAAAGACTCAAGACCTCGAAAGCGTCAACATTACGGAAGAGAAAGCTCTGCTACCAATAAAGCGGCGGTAAAAGTTCACGAAAGGCTTAGCTGCAAGTCCAACTGAAAGAAGGAGGAGGAGAAAAGGTTAGCTTGGGCTACAGCAAGAATGGAAGAAGGCTGAGCGTACTATGCGTCGAGACAGCAACTCACATCCAAGGATCCGAACAAACCGCAAAGCCGATCGGGGAGGAATTGCAGCCAAAGGCAACGGTCTGCTGATAGCGAAACAGCGGGTCCAGCTAAATGACCGCTGTTAAGCCAATTGTCAGGCTCGATCGGGAGAGACGCTCTACGTTGTTGTTGTTATAACGATTATCTAATCCCCGTTTGGGTGATAAATTCTAGATTCGTTGTCGTCGAGGTCATCTAACGGAAGGCCCAGGAAACGAGCTGTTTCGACGGGGTCGGACCATAGGGAAAGGGGTGTTAGATGAGTGGGGTTTGTAGGGCATGCAAAGAGGTGGTTAGTGTCATGCGGAGACTCATTGCATGCAGGACATGTGTTTAGTATGTCGGGGTCTATTCTGGATAGGTAGGAGTTTAACCTGCTACAGTATCCAGAACGAAGTTGCGCGAGGGTCACTCTAGATTCGCGAGGCAACTCGAGCTCTGTGTCTGCAATGGGTGGTGGTTTGACTCGTATTACGCCATTCACTGAAAGGGAGTCGGTGAAGGTGTTAATGGCTCCACTGTGAATGGCGGTCAGTGCTTGTCTGAAGTTAGTTGCGTCCGAAGTCTGGTCGACGTGCTGTCTGATGTCGTCGACGTAGTCAAGGAAGGACCTCTTGATGTTCCTAGGAGGCTGCTCCGCTGCAAGCAGGCGTCTGCAGGGGTGGTTTCTGCGAAAACATCCCAGCAGAAACTGCTTGGAGAGGAGCTCATTATGTTCCTTAACCGGAAGCATATGGGCCTCGCTGTGTAGGTGTTCGATTGGGGACATCAAGAGGCACCCCGTGATAGTCCGGAGTGCAGTGTTCTGACAAGTCTGGAGCTTCTTATTCTGCGTGTCACTACATCCAGGCGACCATATTGCGGCTGCATAATTGAGGACCGGCTGGCCGATTGCCTTGTATGTTGCCAACAACGTTTCTTTGTCCTTTCCCCATGAGCTGCCGGCAAGCGACTTGAGGATTTTGTTGCGGCTCTATACTTTGGCAGTTATCGCGGTCGTGTGAGGAGTGAAAGAGCACAGACTGTCCAAAGTGACGCCTAAAATTTTAGGGTTATTTACTGTCGGAATTTTTGTGCCATCGACTGAAATGTTCAGGTCCAGTCTGTACTCCTTCGTCCAATTGGTGAAGATGATCGCTGTGGATTTAGTGGGGGAGAGTGTTAAGTTCCTTGCAGAAAAGAAGCGAGAAAGATCGGAGAGGTAGCCGTTTACTTTTGAACACATGCCATCGATTCCATTGCCCGACGTCAATATCGTACAGTCATCTGCGTACGAGGTCATTGAAATTCCCGCTGGTGGCTGGGGGAGTTTCGAAATGTAGAAATTAAACAATAGCGGGGAGAGGACACCGCCCTGCGGAACCCCCTGTTTAATTTTCCTGAGTTTGGAGTTTTGACCTCGAAATAGTACGGATGAGTGTCGACCGCTCAGGTAGTTCATGGTCCACCGCTTCAGCCCTGGAGGGAGCGTTGATTGTTCCAGGTCCTCAAGTAGCGTTGCGTGATTGACTGTGTCAAAAGCTTTTGACAAGTCCAACGCTACGAGGATCGTCCTCTCGCAGGGTGGCTTCTGGTTCAGGCCATGAACTATCTGGGCGTTTATGACGCTAAGTGCTGTGGTGGTACTGTGCACTTTACGGAAACCATGCTGATGGTCTGCTAGGCTCAGGTGGTGGGTGAATGACGGGAGTAACAAGGCCTCAAGTGTCTTCACTACTGGGGAAAGGAGAGTTATCGGGCGATAAGACTCCCCTTTGTTGGCGGGTTTCCCAGGTTTCAGTAGTGGGACCACTCTTCCGACTTTCCACACATCGGGTATTTGAAGAGTGGATATCGACAGGTTGAGGACCTTGGTGAGGTAGTTTACTCCCGTTGGGCCTAGATGTTTTAACATCAGCATGTTTATTCCGTCAGGGCCGATGGATTTGGACGATTTCGCCTTTTTGATGACACTCTGAACCTCCCCATCGGTGAAAGTAAGTGGTGCGCAGTCTTTTGGCATTTTGCGCAACCGTCGGGTAACACATCGTTTGGCCTTGTCGGTCGAAGGGTGCAGTATAAACTGCCGGCTAAAGTATCTCGCGCACTTCTTCGGGTCCGAGGAGGCATGGCCATCGAATTGGATTTCAACCCGATCGTCATGTTTCCTCGGATTTGACAGGGCCTTGACAGTAGTCCAAAGCTTACTCACACCGGTGGAGAGGTTGCAGGACTTCAGGTGCTCTATCCATTTTGTCCGCTTATGATGGTTTACCATTTGCCGAATCTCCAAATTGAGATCCCTTATTCGGGAATCACAGGGATCGGCATGGCGTAAGGTGTCGCGCTCATTTGCTAATACAGCTGCTTCGGCTGGGAAATTAGGGCGGAGTTCCGCTATTCTTCCAGCCGGTATGAAGCGAGCTGTAGCAGCAGCGATCACCTTGCGGAATTGACGCTCGCCAACGATGACGTCCGTAGGAATGGATAGTGCGTTGAAGGTGCTCTCAGTAAATTCTGTGAAGCCGACCCAGTTAGCTTTGTTAAAGTTAACATAGGTGCGGTTATCCACAGAAATAAAGTCAGGAGGTTTCTCGATCGAGATAATTATGGGCAGATGGTCTGATGCAAGAGTTAGCATAGGTCGCCAGGTTATACTATTTATCAGACCACCGCTAGCGATGGTAATATCTGGCGAGCTATTACAGGTGCCCATAATTCTGGTGGGGGCTTCGTCATTCATTGTGCAGAATGTCGAATCGTCTATCTGTTCCGCCAGCTCCATCCCCCTACGATCGTTTGACAGGCAGGAATGCCAAAGATCGTGATGCGCGTTAAAGTCGCCTAGCACCAGACGGTTTTCACCACGAAGTAGCGCATCTATATTCGGGTGATATCCTGTTGGGCAACATGTAACTGGGGGGATGTATATATTAAATATTTCGAGCTCGACATCGCCTGACCGGACAGCTATTCCCTGACATTCTAGGGTAGTGTCCCTGCGGTCGATGTCAACATCGATTAGACGATATTGCACGGTGTTGTGCAATATGAAGGCTAGGCCTCCACCATTATCTCGCTCGCGATCCTTACGTAAAACGTTGAAACCTGCACAACTCAGAAGATCTGAGCGGCTGTTTAACTTGGTTTCTTGGACCGCAGCTATCGGTTGGTCAGATTGGGAGTTATGCTGTCTATGTGAGCTCCTTAGGACCGTGGAGGTCCTATCTTGGCCACTCGACTGGAGTGGCAGCGCAGTGCGCGAACATGGTGCAGGTTGCACGGCCGTTGAGGCAGATGTCGCATTATTGCGTTGACAGCATGGGGCCACGTAACTCGTGGTCCACTCCCTGTGTGTCTTAAGGCCCGAGCAGGTCTTAAGATGGCTCCATCCATTGCATGTATTGCACCTAACCGAGGTGGAATTTGGATGGAGCCTTTTTGCGCATACGCAGCAGTAGAATACCTCGGGGCCCGGGTTGGACTCGATGCCAGCACGGGTCAGGAGGATACGGAGCAACCCTGCTGCTAGGCGTTGCTCCAGTGACGACAAACTTAATCTAAAACTTACCGATCCAAACAGGGTTAGATCGTCGAAATAACAGCCCTTGGCCGGATAAAATCCGGGTCAATTCCGGTATCGCAGAACCGGCTGTTGTGGGAATTGACGCTCTACGTCGAGGGCGGCAGCGACTATCAGCGAGATAGCCAAGAGGCATTTAATCGTGGCACTTATTGACAGAAGCAACCCCCTTGCGCACATAACAGAAAAAAAATGGAAAGCGGTAGAGCTGAAACTACTGAATGCGCTCGTCGCCTTTGGAGACCCCAGCTCGCCTACACCAACAGTCGATGGTGCGGGCTGGCTTATTGGGGCAAGATCTAAAAATGTACGGACAACCCTTCACTGCTATGGGTAAAGAAAGTAGCTGCGAAGTTTCAAAGCCTGTGGGAGGGCGCCGTCATGGAAATAGTGGACTGTAGTTGCATTCCTTCCATTCCGAAGGCGAAGGTTCTCATACCTCGAATGGTGATATCGGAGGATGCACTGCAGCTCCTCAGGAGACAGAACCCTAATGTGCCGACGGAGGATTGGAGGGCGCTGAAGGTCACCAACTCCAACTAGGTGGATGGTAGCCAAAACTACATCCTCCAAATTAATAAGACGGTCCTGGTTCGTTCCGGTTACGTAGACCCATTGACATTACACGACGGTAGTCAAGTTAATCTTGCTTTACGGTGCTTTAATGAGTAGGACCGATGTTAGCAAAATTTCATACAGAAAACCGTTGGAGTGCTATTCTCTGCATAACGGCTGCATTAGAAAGGCTACTCAACCTACCATAAATCGGCATTGCAGTGGGAAGCTATGCAGCAAAATCAGCTGCAAAATTGGCTGCTTTTTTCTCTACAAGAACCTTCGGGCATAGCTCAATAAGCAGGGGGCAGATGGACAAATTTGTTCACATACCCTCCCGCATTATTTGGGAGAGGTTCCAGGTCACAATAAAATAGGAAGGATGGCGTGGGAGTATACAACTCATTTGCGGAACTGACAACATCTATACACACGACAAATGGAGTGAGAGCCGGAATCTATTGCTCGGAACTGCATCTCAGGCAACCCTTCAAGCTTCTGGAGCCTGCAATATCTTTCACGTGGAAGTCTTTGCAGTCAGGAAAGCGGCGGAGATAGCTAACAACGCATGTTACAACATGAAAAGGATAAATATATACATCGATAGCCAAGCGGCAATCAAGGCAATAATCTCACATCACATTACGTCAGAGAATGTCCTTAGAAGCAGGGAGGCAGTAGATGTACCGGCTGTCGGTAAAAGGCTGCAAAGACAGGGATTCCGGGATTCGAAATAGCGGAGGAGATTGCCTAAAAACGACGTGCAATGAAATTTCCGGAAGGGCTGACAGGTGGATAAGGGCGAGACGGAATGCCTTAAGTACATGCAGAATCGCCAATATCATGTGCATGAGCCCCGAAGGAAAGCTCGCATACTTTTTACTCACACGGTCTTGAAAGGACTGCCGGACGGGTGTTGACCTCTTGATAGGTCACAACCTACTGGCATCACATGCGCGCCGGAGGGGTATAAATAACGAGGATACATACAAAAAGTGCAGAGAAGCAGGCATGAGCGAGACGCTGGAACACCTCCTATGCCTCTGTCCATTACCATCCATCGTCTAAAAATCTAGGTGCTTGGCATTTCAAAGGACTAGACGTATCAAACTTAGATATCAAGTTGTTCTTTAAGTTCGCAAAAAGCGTTGACATCCTATATGACGAATACTTCACCTCTAGTTAAACAGAACCTCCATCTGACATTACTAAGGACCAGTAGATCTATGTATGGCGTGACAACTGGCCTTTTTGGTTTTTCGTTTAGAAAATTTCAGCTGTTTTAATTATTTCAAATCTTCACTTCTTAGGTTGCCAACACCAATGACACGTTGACTGAAAATAGTTGATGTTTGTAATATTAAAAGAGTTAGATTTATCTGAAGTTGAACTGCTTTAACTTTAATTCAACAGAGTGGACTTCAAAGTCGTAAAACTGGTATAAAGTAACGTTATGGAATGGGGATAAAATTTGTTTGAATGTTTCAAAGAAAAGGTAAAAGATGAAGAATATATTTAATTATAGCCACCGGAAACTTATAATTTTCGAGATGTTTGCATTTTAAATCGAAAATTTGACAATTATCTAGCAATTTCTCGATTTATAGTTAATTTTCACTACATTGTTTTTAAGTATTTATTTTATATCAATTATTTTTATATTGGCTTTAAATAAGCAATTTATTGTTTATACAATTTTCGTTATATCCACAATAACAAATGGGTTCCATGGTGACAAATAATAAGAGCTGCCATATCCAAACGAATGAAAGCAATCAAAATAAATTAAAAAAATACCCTCTACAAAATATTATGAACTAAATTTTTAAAAGGTATTCTAAAGCCGACCTCGAAGTAATACTGTAACCTTAGTACCTTTTTTTAAATGTTGTTGGCGTAAGCCATGCTGTCCATTCGAACAAAGAATATAAATCGGGGATCACTTCTAAGGTCTTGCAGAGCGTAAAAAATTGGGTATGGTCCTTATGTACCAGATTCTGCCAATATAGTCGGTCAAAGTCTTCAAAACTGTGGCTATAATTATGGGATAATTCTTTTACACCAGAAAGCCGTTTTTTACATAGAAGTATTCCTGTCTCCTCAAATGTTTCTCGTATAGCTGTTATACGCAATGAAAATTCTCTGATTATCAAATAAAACTAAATTAAACCAAGACATTTTAAAACGTATTAATATATACCTTTGGATTTGACCATTCATTTTATTAGTAAATATAGCAGGTCGTGGTGAGTTACACTGAAATAAATCCCGGTTTGTACTTTGGCCAAAGCTTTTTATATAATTGAGCCACAACAGCGAAGCATCGCCGATTTCATGTACACCTCCGGGAAAAACGGCAGAGTTTGGATAGAATGTTGACTTTTCAGCACGATTAAATAATAACACCTCAAAATTGTTTATATAGAAAATAATAAAAGCTCATTTGTAAAAAATGTTCAATATCTTACTCGAAAATCGCAACCAAAATCTTTTATGCTTTGATCCTTCACCAAAATAATTAAACTTGCCGCCTCTCTCCATTTAGTTCCTATTTTATTTATTATGTCCATTTTACTTTTCATATAAAATAACATCTGGCGCTATCATTAGGATTATACAATGGCATTGTATAAATCTACAAACAAAAAATCTTAAGATTTCACTAATCTACACGCAAAAACGTCCCACTTGGTATGGGGTGCCAACAAATATTTTGCTACTAAAACGTCCAAATGACACAAATCTGCTATAGTGTGCTGCCATGTTATGTTTTAAAATTTATAACTTTAAGAATGTTTTTATTACATATTCATATATAATATTTTTCGGTTGTTTTTATTCCTAAAGATTAAATTTACATAGTTTTATCAAATATATCATTGTGTAACGTTGATTAAGAATATTTTGTAAATATTATTTATTGTATAGTAGATTGTTTTGATTATTGTTATTGTTCCTGAACTGTACCTAATTTTTTATATTTATTTTCGTTTTTCTTCAAATCAAGTTGAATATTTAAACTTATATTATTAATGTTATATTGTTAATGTAATTAATATTCATGAACCTGATTCATGTACCTGATTTTATGTATAAATCTTTACGAGTTATAATTGTTATGAAAAGTAGATTGTTTTAGAACTGTATATATTTTATGGGTGAATATAGGTCTCCTGGGGAACCGAACACCCCAGATATGGTGAGAAAAAGAAATAAATACATATTAATCTTTTGTTTCGAAAATATTCTTGAAAGTTTTTATTAATATTCTCCATTACAAATACATGTTCAAAAACAAGTTGTTAAACTACAAAACATTCCTTTTATTTACATCTCTGTGTCAAAAAAATGCGGATTAGATCAGGTGATCACGGTTGTTTCACAAACATAGGAAAACAGCTGATTCCTTGATTCCTTGTAGGCTTGTAAAATTTTCCTAGTTCAACTAAGCAACTCGCGATTCGTCATAGGGGACTCATATACATTGTATAAGCATACAAGTAACCCAAGATTCAGCTGTTTTCCTATGTTTGTGAAACACCCGTGATCACCTGATCGAATATGGCTTTTTTTCACACAGAGTTTTAAATAAAAGGAGTAGTTTAACAATTTGTTTATGAACATGTATTTGTAATGGAAATAATAATGAAAACTTTCAAGAATTTTTTCGAAACAAAAGATTAATATGTATTTATTTCTTTTCCTCACCATATCTGGGGTGTTCGGTTCCCCAGGAGACCTATATTCACCCATAAAATATATACAGTTCTAAAACAATCTACTTTTCATAACAATTATAACTCGTAAAGATTTATACATAAAATCAGGTACATGAATCAGGTTCATGAATATTAATTACATTAACAATATAACATTAATAATATAAGTTTAAATATTCAACTTGATTTGAAGAAAAACGAAAATAAATATAAAAATCGCCTTCAATAAAACCCTCAGAGTTTATTGCCTTGTAATATTTTGCTTTCATCTTTTCGGTCATAGTTTTGGTGCGCTGTATCATCATAGCATGTATATCCCTCATCTCGTCTTCTAGGATGCTATTGAATTCCTTAGTATTCCTTCCTCCGTTGGCGTTAATTTAAAATTTTAAATCAATCGGTAGTCGAAGATCATTACCAAAAATTACCCTTGCTGGAGTCTGCCCCGTTGTTTCATGTACAGCAGACCGATAAGCCATCAGGAACAAGGATATATGGGTATCCCAATCTTTTTGATACTTGTCCACAACTTTCCTCAAATGTTCTTCCAAAGTTCGATTGAATCGTTCTATCATGCCATCGGACTGCGGATGTAGTACAGTTGTACGGGTGTTCCAGATACCCAGCTTCTGGCATATCTCCTGTATTAGAGCTGATTCAAAATTTTCCCCTTGGTCAGAATGTAATTCTATTGGAACACCATATCTTGATACCCAATTGTTGATGAATACATCCGCTACTGTTGCTGTCTCTTGGTTAGGAATTGCGTATACCTCTGGCCATTTGCTGAAATAGTCCATGACTAGGAAAACATATCTGTGCCAACTGTCCTTCTGGGTTCCTGAATTGTAGAAGACATTTTAATGCTGCATGATCTGTCCTCACCGGAAATCGCTGGCCATAAAGGTACTTATGAAAATGTTTGATGCACTTCACCAACGCCAGTAATACCCTCCGAGTAACACAATAATTTCTCTCTGGCTTGCTTATGGTCTGGCTGTAATACGCAACCACTTTCTCATGCCCATCAATGACTTGTGATAGAACGCCTCCTACTGCAAATCCACTAGCATCCGTATCCAAAATACGGGACTGGGTATGCCAACATTGGCGCAGTACTTAACCGTTTCTTCAGAGTTTGGAAAGCCACTTCCTGTTCTTTATTCCGTTCAAAAACTCTGTTCTTTTTCGTGAGTTCATGGAGGCTACTAGCTACGCTGGCAAAATTTGGAACGAATCGTCTATAATAAGTACATAGTCCAAGGAAACTCCGCAATTCTTGTAAATTTTTAGGAGTGGGCCAATCTCTTACTGCCTCGATCTTTTTATTAGCTGTGCAAATGCCCTCCGTTGTCGCTTTGTGTCCTAAGTAGCTTACTTCCTTTTTGAAAAGGGAACACTTCTTTGGACTCAGCTTCAGACCAGCGTTAGCTATCCGTTGGAAAACCTCTTCCAAGTTCTTAAGGTGTTCATCGAAGCCTTTACCCAACACGATGATATCGTCGAGGTATACCAAACAGGTCATTCAATGTAATCCTTTTAATACCTGGTCCACAAGTCTCTCAAAAGTAGCAGGAGCGTTACATAATCCAAAGTAAATTGCCATAGACCATCTGCAAAGCTGAAAGCCGTCTTTCTATTTTCTTCTTCGTTTACCTCCACTTGCCATTAACCACTTTTTACATCAAGTGTTGAGAACCATTTTGTGCCTTTCAACCTTCTATAGTCCACAAAAAATCTCATGTTGCCATCTTTCTTCTTCACATGTACTACAGGTGAGCTCCACGAACTCTCTGATGGTTCGATTACGTCGCTTTCGCTCATTTCACGTATGGTCTGGCTTACAACTTCACGTTTTGCTAAAGGAATGCTCCGAGGAGCCTGGCGGATTGGTCTTGCATCACCTGTGTTAATAAAATATTTCACAACTTTGGTTTTTTCTGGTTTGGCATCGTCTTTATCAAATATGGAAGAGTATCTGAGAAGAAGTTGTTTAGCCGTAGTTTGATAGTTTGCCTCTAGTTCCTCGGCCCATGTGTTAATTTCACTCGATATATCGTTTTCGTCCATGGAATATTCCTCAAGACCTATTTCGCAATTTATCACGGCCACAATCTTGACACTGCCCTAATACAGCTCCTTTGGAGAGTTTGATTGGTAACATGCACTCATTAAGTACTCTTACTGGAACACGTTTATCTTGCCTTGTCACAGCCAGCACACTTTTGCCTATAAGTAAGTTTGGTGTAGATTCTTTTGTGGGCTCAACAATCCATCACTTGTTTGACCCATAGTTTCCATCTATTTCTGCCCAAATAACTGCTTCTGATGTTGGTGGAATCTGCTGGCTCTCTGTTGTTATCACTCGTCTAACGTTGTACTTATTATCGTAACCGCACATAAGTGGCACTTCCATATTTCTATAAGTCATAATCCTGTTTTTCATGTCAATTTCGATTCCTTGATTCGCTAGAAAGTCTGTTCCAATTATGACTTCGTCTTCGGCTGTCTTTCCAATTACGATCTCGCACGTTACCTTTCCGAGAACTAGGGCATCTTCTCCAGTTGCAGTACGCAACTTTGCCCCAGCTACCGATCTCACTTCTTTCTTAGACATATCAGATCGAATTATGGAATGTGATGCGCCCGTATCCACAGTCAGTATGCGCTTTTTACCGTCTACACATCCACTAACGGTAACGTTACTCGTATTTCTGCTTATTTGTGAAATTAAGATTACAGGGCATTTGCTTGCGAGAGCCAAGTTTTAGTTTAACAAATTGTGTGGCGCAAGTCAGGAATTGCCCTTGAAAAGCAAAATTTTATTGGTACAGTTAAACACGGAGGTGGCGGAATTATGGTGTGGGGTTGCATGGCGGCTGGTAGTGGTGGGTCAGCTTGAATTAATTGAATCCACAATGGATAAGTGGGGTTATTTGAACATTTTAAAAAACAATTTGAAACAATGTGCAAAGAATCTTGGATTATCTTCGACGTTTTGGTTCCAACAAGATTGTCGGGGTACTCGACGTTGAGTTTGCCGGTGTGCCAAATAAAATAAAATATTAATTAAAATTCAACAAAATGTAACTTTAATTAATTTGAGTATATAGGGTAGAAATATAGACAATTTGTGTGGGTTAATTGTACAATAATTATGTGTGTGTTTGTTAAGTGTTATACTTGTATGTATAATTCAATTTATGTGTTATTTAAAAGTTAGACTTAAATAAGATAAACTAATTATAAATTAAATTTTGGATTGATAATCCCGCGTAGATTTTGGTGGAACTGCTTTTATTGTTTTTTTACTGCTGGGGCGATCTGATTTTCGCGCCTTTTTGTGTCCGTCCGCGTTGATATCTGCTCCTGCCTGCTGATTTGTTCTAATTGGAATTATGAGCTATGTTGGTGCTGTTGAACCTTTTGCATTGTCCTCTAATTCGTATTTATATCAACAATGCAGGGTAGTGTTCATTTGGTATGAACATCCCGGCCGCCTTGCAGGGTCTGCGAATAAAAAAGTTATTAGATCTATTTCGCTTTGGGTTAAGGAATATTGTTTTAAAATGGGTTGAGTGGTTTAAATCGCACAAGCACCGGTTAGAGTCCAACCGAGTGCGGTGTTTTGTGCGATCACGGTGCTGTTGTCTGGGTTGAATAATCCGGGTTTCATTATCCTTGGGTAGATGTCTGCTCCCAGTTCCATCATGATTTTATCATCCTTGTGGAACATAGGGTCGGCTAGGACTAAGTGGTCGAATCTCTTAAAGATTTCGCCACCTATATCACGATTGTAGGGTCGGGTCGGTAATTCCTGCGTCATAAGGCAGTTAACTTCGACATGCCAGTCGGGATCAGTTAGTGACCCTATGACGATTTTACATATGCGGTGAGAGTCAAGGTACGTTTTCGGTAACCTCAATCTCTGAACTAGCTCCAAGGCAATAATTGTCACCTTTCGGGTCGGGTTAATTAGGGCACGTATTTTATTCCATTTGCCATCGTGTTTTATTTTTATCATGGCAGTGGGTAT